CTCCAAACCGTGACTAGGTCAGCAAAGTTCACCAGCGACCGAGGGGGAGGAGCTGTTTCCCGAGCAGAGATATCTGCACAAACAGAAAAGTAATCATGAGCATCGGAAGTCTGGAGAACAAAATAATAAACCCGAAGGAACCGACGTACTTGTCGTTCTCCATTCCAGAGGGCATAACAAGCCGTTATACTCGGGACCAACACCTCTCTGCCAAGATCCCTTGAAAATAAGAATATCGTCCTTGTACCCCTTGTCCGAGTCGGAAAGATGAGTTACAAGGTACATGGAGGGGTCCCTGGCTTTGAGGTAGAAGTGTTGGTGAGGCATGACTCTCAAGAGGGCATAACAAAAAAGAAGATCGTTCAGCCCGATATTTACCCCGAGGCGCCTATTGAGCTCTAAGACTCCCATAATGATTCTGAAGACATTAAGGCAACATTGCCCGGGGAAGAGGCGAAAGTGAGAGAGGAACTGAAGAAGTAAAGGGGGTAAATGAAACCTAATTCCTCCCTCTATTATGGCCTTGGTATAAAAGGGCATAGCATCCTCGGCCCCGAGGGTAGGAGAGTACACCACCGGGTCAAAATCCTCTATATCTACGCACGGGGGAATGCCGTACTTGACCTTAAACCTATTGATCTGCTCACCACCCTTTACTTTATACTTCCCCGACCCCAAAGAACCAGCCTGAGGATTCTCGGGAGCAGGGCGACGACGAGGCATCTCTAAGAAAGTGAGAAAGTAGAGGGTGTTTTTTCTTAAAAATCCCTAAGGAAGTTTCCCGAGGATTAGTCGCTATGTATCAACCGGGGACACCTCCAGTCATTGGAAAACAAAAAGGGATAGGAGGAAGAAAAGAAGGAAGATACTAGAACTCACCCGAATGTCAAACGGAGTTTTTTCTGGAAAACTTTAAAGCGACTCCTTCCAGAAGGTTCAGAAGCAACGATGGGTCTGCTGGCCTTAAGACTTTAAGGAAGAACGGGCAGTTGAAGATGGAAGAGGAAAGAGATCTCTGGCGAAGATTCAGGAAAAGGCTCTCTTAAGGAAGTTCGGAATGACGAAACAAGAAAATGGAAGAGGAGCCCCATTTATATAGGGGTTGTTTCATCATTGGGCTCGAAAAACGAAACGGCGCATTCAATGCACATGACATCCCAAGCCGGGAAAAGCGGCTCGAGGCAATGATGAAGCATTGGTGGTTGTTGGGAAACCCTTCGTCTCCTTATGACGCGTGCCCTCGGTGTCAGAAGATCGAAGACTGGGGGGCAGTTGATGGGACTTTTCTGAAATGCTCCATGATGAAGACACGTGTCCTCGGTATTACCAAAACACTGTTGCTAAGATCAAGCACCATCGGCGCGCAAAGGTCCTCGCCCCCGAGGTACTCCTCATATAGGATTATGGTATTCAGTACGTTTTACAACTGACACATAGCCTCGGTCTGATATGGTACCTCGGTCGGTGTCCCTCCCTCGGTTCCGAGATGAGTCTTTCCTCGGTGCCGAGGTGTACCCGTCCTAGACGCCTCCTCTACTCCAGGATAAGCTATTGACGTACAGGTCATTAGCCTAGGCTATTCATCATGACCTCGTGTTACACAATTAGTGTCAGAACGTACTGGAATGCAGGGGCCACAGCCAATGAGGGATGGATGCGTGGCATATGATATCACATCGAAGACAGAGAAATCGCATGTCGTTGCTGACACGCGACTTGGGAAAGCAAACTATTAATTACACCATTCCCTTGACGAGACCGCATTCAATGCGGTAAGGCTCGAAAATGAAAGGCAATAAATGCTCCTAATACAGAGCATTTATTGCATCCTCCCCGAGAGGAGTAAATTGTACCGTCGGCATCCTGACGACACAGCATTGATTGCTCGGGACCCCGAGCAGTTAAGAAGAGAAGACATTCCTCATCAGAATCAGTGCGCACACTGCCTGTACCTAATGATCATCTACTGACTACACTGACAGCAATCATGAGTTTTTGAGGTATAAATACTCCTTGCAAAAGGCAAGACGGGGATGCAACAAAAAACTCTTTACTACAATACACACTCAATGTTTTCTCCTTCCTCTCTCTCTCTCTCAAAGACTGACTAGATCGTCGGAGGGGATACGCCGGAAAACACTCTGGCGCCCTTCTAACTTGTTCTTCTTTGTTCCAGGAACCTCTTTCAGCCTTACTGGATCGTTCTTCCGCTCCCCCAGGGTCTCCCGTTGCCGTTCCAGGTTACCTCCGGACCTCGCAGGCTGTTCCAAGCAGCGTGGTTGATCACTCAACTGGCTCACTCGAAGTTCACCAAGGGAGAGATATGTTCTCGTTTTTTATATTGTGCAGGATCTTGCACGGACACATGGGTTGTAGCTATGACTCATGCATCAATTACCGGAAAGATCAAAAAGATTTTAACCATATAAAACTGAAAAAAAAATAGTATAAATATCTCAGCATCATATTAGTTAAAGCCAAAACTAGATTAATCACCATCGTTGTACTGGGTTTGTTTGTTTTTTTCTTTTTGATCAGTGTAATGGGTTAATTCAACATAGCAGTTTTGGAAGAAAAGAATTTGCAAGTTTTGTCACTTTTCATGCAATAAATGTATAAACCTGAAATATATTTACAGATATTTTGAAATAAATGTATAAACATGAATTATATTTATGACTTGGTTGAACCCCTTCTTCTATCAGTTGCGTCTTTTTTCCTTTCATGCCATTGTCCGTCGCCCAAACTCCTTTTTTCTGTTGCCCACCGTAGCACCAAATTCATTCTGGCTCCATCGTGATTGCTTTTTGATAGAGATTTCATAGTACGTACATGTCTACTTTTCTGTCAAACCACTAAACTAACTACTGGGGCTGTTTGGTACGCATGTACGGAGGAGACTAGACAAGATTGGTTTAGAGAAAATAGTCTAAATCTCTCCATAATCTTATATTTGTATGAAAAATTCAGTCTTGGGTTTTTAAATCTGACCCGTAATTGGCTCGAAGATTAAACTCATGATCATGGATTTCGTCAATCCTAAGGGGAGGTGGGTTTGGAAAGAAGAGCAAGGGGGTTAAAGATCTAAAAGACAATTGTACCCCCTTAATATTAGTATGAATTGGATTGATTAAGGGTAAAATAGTTATTTACAAGACAAATAGTTGTTAATAATTATAATATATTTTGTGGGTATTACATGTGTATGTGTTGCATACCAAACATGGGTATGAATCGGATTGAATGTTAAATTTCATCTTTGCAAAGAGAGGTTTGAGTTTGAAAGAGTTTAGAGAAGTCAATCTAAACCCCTCCCCAAAATTCATCCAAATAAGCCCCTAATGCATTTGATGCACAAGGATCCAGCGATCTGTATTCAACTCATTCTCGTAGCTATTACAACTTTTTTCATCATACTTCAACAGTGATGAGCTTATTGATGATGCATAAAAGTTGATTTATGCACAATTTATCTAGTAATTAATATAGGTAATAAATACAGTAAATATAAAGATGAGATCCACACAAGCAACATATAAATGTATAGTGGTTCGGTTGGCGTGACCTACTCCACTTTGAAAACGGCAACGGTATCCGGTGGTCTTTATTGATGAAGTATTAGGTGAGAGAGAGAGAGAGAACAAGGGTATACTCTTAGTAGTTATGTGATGTGGAGAGAGCTTATAATGAGTAATACTACATGAACTTAAAATTTAGACTTGATGATTACAATCATTGAATAGGTAGTGAAACTCAATAAATACTAAGGTCCACATGGAAATCAATACCTATAATTATCAAGTCTAATTTTTAAGTTCATGTAGCAATATTATAATTTATAGGCACAGAGCCTTAGTTGAGGTCGTGACGTGAAATGATAGATGACTAACTTTTCGAGGAGAATAACTAGAACTAAAGATAGATACAACTAGAGGTAGTCTGCATATATGAGAATGGTTATCCCAGTAATTACTCCTCACGTGCGCTAATCTTCTTGGAATCCTTGAACTTTGGTCTGGACCAAATCCATGAACTGGGCTTGACCTGCCTTATAACTAATTTGAGCTTACTTAATTAATTGGGTCTAACCCAGTTGAATCTGAGCTTATCACTTATCATATAAAATAGAATTTAAAATTCACAAAAATCACATCTTGAGATATTTTTTAAGATTGTGCAATTAACGTATAAAACTGCAAATTCTTATGATCAAAAATAAAATCTTTACTTAAAAGTAGTTCACTTGTGACGTACGTCTGTAATAACTAGTGTCAAGAAAAGCTAATAACATGAGTAAAAAAACAAGGGTTAATTACAAAATGTCTCCTTCAAGTTTGGGTCATATTACAATCGACTCTCTCAGGTTTTAAATTTGACAATTTGCCCCCTTAAAGTTTTTACATGATTAAATTGGTTGACAAAGTGGATGAAAAATATAAAATTACTTAAATACCCCCATCCTTTAATATTCAATTTCTTCTTTTGCTAGCCAAAACACACGCACCTTGGCAGCCTTACAACCAACTTTCCCAACTCTGACGGTCCCCTCAATCTATGTTATCAACTCCGGTAGCCTCCTTATCCAGTGCCCCCAACCTTTTTCCCTAACTACGGTATCCCCAAACCATCTTCCCCAACTCCGACAACCCCCCAAACCTCCTTTACCAACCTTAGCAGCCCCCTAAACCCTTCCCCAACTCCAGCACCTCACCCCCCAGCTTTGGCAATACTCCAACCCCCATACCCATGTCGATTACCCACCAATTGAAACTTTTCCCCCTTTCCTTTTTCTTTCTTCTCCAACCACAACAACTCACAGATCAATTTGCATGTGTGTACGCATTTGTAAACTCTCTTTCTCTCTCTCGGGTATATTTCTTTTGAGGGTGTTTCACTAGTGGGAGGGGTTTTGTTTGGGAACTAATTGTTAGAGGGTGGTGGTGGATTTCACTTGTAGAGGGAGTGAGTTTAGTTTTTTTATGCTTGGGGATGATTTTCACCAAAGGAGGAAGATAATTCAACTGCTTCAATTCAGAGGATGGGTTTACTAAAGGAGGCATGGGTTGGGTCTTCTCACCGAAGCAAAGAGGTTCCATGGGTACTTGACGGGCTTGTCCGATTACTCCAACCCCCCTATTGCTCTGACAGTCTCCTACCCCATACGCAATGCTGGTAACACCCCAAAACCCACCTCCACCAGCCTCTCTCATACCAGCACTAGCAAACTCTCAGCCCCACTTCACAGCACCCATTGAATCGATCCAGTCAACCAAGGCATAACAACTATTGGATTTAGTCGTGTGTGTGTGTGTATATATATATACGAATCAAAGGAGGAAGTAAGTTGGGTTTCACCAAGAGAGGGAAAACTATCCAGTTGTTTGAGCATGGTGGGTGGGGAGGGGTTTTGCTGGAAGAGGGAGGGAGTTGGGATTTCGCCAGTGCAAGTTAGGGTCAAATTGGATTTTATTTTATTTTTTTCAAAACAAAAGATTGAGATATGGGTAGTTTTGTGCTTTTGATCAATTTTAGATAAATTTTATATCAAATTTCAGTCATTTTTAATGGTGTCAACTAATGGAGAAGCTAATTGAAAAATATTCTAACATTAAGGGGGCAAATTGTCGAATTTAAAAGTTGAGGGAGTCGATTGCAACATGACCCAAACTTGGAGGGTCATATTGTAATTAACCCAAAAAATACATGCATAACAATTTATTTTAATTATAATTTTTTTCTTTTGCTTCCATTCTTTTTTCTTTTTCCACATCATCAATAAAAAAGGTACACTAAATTTCAACAGTTTTTTGGAAACTATAAAATTATTCTTATTATTAATGAGACTACGAGAACTCCTTAAAATGCTGTATAATTTTACTGTAAAATAATCACGACATCTTTACTTTTTCTTTTTTTTTTTGCCCTTAATTTTGAAATAGTGATCCAAAATTAGTAACTGAGAGACAATGAGAGAATACATAGGTTTTAGAAATGATGTCAGAGACAAACAGAAACTACCACAACTTAACAGTTCCGAGGGCATCACTGAGAAGCCAGTCGAGTAAAATGGGGGACTTGTCGGCGCACAACCCGCCGCACATGTCGGAAACGGTGGGATTTTTGTCAACGAATTGGTCAAACATTGCCGGCTCACGTAACTCTCTCTCTCTCTCTGTCTGACTCTGACAGGACTCTCCGGTCCATACCGACCAAAGGGCTAGCCCATCCCTGTTTGGTTTTGTTTGTGTACTATCCAATGGACACGTGTTGTGAAGTACGCACGTGTGCTGCGGGGATCCGACCTGCAGTTTCTTTTTTTCTAAGTGACCTGCAGTTTCAGTTGAACGAGAAGGATTAATTGTAAATTGATATTTTGAAATATCATTTCAATTTCAATTTATACTTTTAAAATCAAAAATTTTAATTTATACATTCAAATATAAGAATTTATATCAATACACACCTGAAATTAATAACCTTCAATTTATCGTCTAAAACTAAATGGATAAATTACGCCTAGATCTCTTTATACTTGTCACTTCATAATTTGGACCCCTCACATTTAAAATATTACTCATACACCTCTTGACGTTTCTGCAAGTATAACAAATAATTTATTGTCGTTTATATCTGTTAATATAACTGTTAAAAAATATGTTTTCATCTCAATAAAAAAATTATAATTTCATACTACATTTTATTTTGTGGGTTCGTTGTACTCTAAAATTCAAAATCAAACTTACAATTTAAATGTCTAATATAATACATATATTTATATAATATTTTTTATATTCAATATAATGCATCACTTAAACAGAATTATTTGAATGCCCAATTGAAGAAACATTTTTAGTCATATTCGGATTCTCAAGAGATGTATGTATAATATTTCATATGTGAGGGGGTCTAAGTAATAAAGTGATAAGTATGAGGTGGTCTAGGTTTAATTTAATCCATTTAGTTTTAGACCGCAAACTAACAATTGTTAGCTTAAGATATAAATTTCTATCTTTGAGAGTATAAATTGAAATTTTTTATCTTTGAGAGTGTAAATTAAAATTTGAACGATTTTTTAAGGTGCAATTTAAGATTAACCCAAAGAGAAAATATTCAATGGGATTAAATTCTTGGCAAGCCTGTAAATAGTTAAATAGTTGTTTATAGTCGGTTAATCAAAATTGAAGAATTACATAAACACTTAAATTAATGTTGAGGATTTTCAATGAGTTTAATTGGCTCCGTGTAATCAAATTGTTTACATTTTGCTTGCAAAAAATGTATTCTCGTATTAAATATAATGGTAGCATTATCTCATTATCAATATATAATGTTACCAATCAATTATTTATAAATTAACAATAACCCCGTGTAATGCCCATGATATAAACCTCATCTCCATTTTTAATTTTTTTTTCTTCATCTTTTTTCTCTTTCCCTCTATTAATTAAATAATTAATTAAGTTAAAAGTTAATTATAAAGGATTTGAATGGAAAAGGTGTTTCATTTTTTTAATAAATCAAAGAATTAAGATTGACTTAGATATAGTATCTAAATAGATTTATGAAAAGGACCAAAATAACTTAAATGTAATTGTTATTACGTAGTTGGAGAGTGGATTAGTGGGAGTATCTTAAAGTATTTAAGTGACTTTGAAATGTGTAGGTGGTGAATTTTAATTGGATATTGATTAATTAAATAAATAAAAATTCTATAAATTTAAAAAAGAGGGAGGGAAACTTTATCAAGCCACTTCTCTTAATAATTTGTTTATTTTGTATATATATCGATATATATATGTAAAACTAGTACATCCAATCAAATTTTATAATTAGTCATTACTTTCATATTTAATAACTAACATATGGGATTAGTGAGGTTCACTTATCTTAAATTTTTATTTATTATTGGTCGATAATACCACATGATAATAATAACGTGATGTAACCGTTATATTGAATATTTTCTTACAAATACACATTAATTTGATTAAATATTCAAAGTAACGGTGACATCACATTATTAATCTGACATGATGTAATATCCAATAGAAAACTATCAAATAGACATAGTGAACCTCATTATTTTACATGGGATAATTATCACATTCCATAGAGGGATAGTTATTAAAGTTGGTGGGATCTGCTTATTAGCTTTTTATTTTTTTTTATTAAATAATGACACCAAATAATGGTAATAATATAATATCACCATTACATTGAATATTTTATCCCCTTCGTCGATGTTCACAATCCTATACTGTTTGGCTTGCGAACTTGCTGCCACACATAGTTCCATCGCTTATTTATGCCGAATCATACCAAATTGTGTTCAATATATAATGTTCATCTCATTAAAACATCTTCAACTATGACTCAAATTTAAACTCAAATTTGAATAAAAAGTTTAATTTGATATAAAATAATTCAATAGTCAAACTCAAATATCTACTCAATTTTTTTAATAAATTCTCTTCTTGCCCCAAAACTCATTTTTTTTCCATTTAAATCATGAAATTTGATAAAATAAATCTAGATAAAAAAAGAATAGAAAAAAAAACAGTCACTTTAACATGGATTTGATTTAAAGAACACAAAAAAATGATCATTTAAAAAAAAAATAATGAATGAAGAAATAAAATAACAAAATTCTTAAATTTGTGAGTAGTGAAGATTTGAAATTTCAGTAAGAATCGATGGCTTAAAATCGCACTACTGACAATGTTTAACTCGAAAAAATAAAAGCAAAATTTGATGAGTAAGCTTAGCATTTATATACTATAAAAGATGAGTGAAATCATAGTTTTGAAAAATACAAAAAATAAAAAATATGAAAGATGAAAATGAAGAAACTTATCTACAGAGGTCTTTAGAAGATATGTGATACTTCGGTGGTAGTTAGCAATGGAAACAGTGTAGAAGAGAAAGACCAGAAGAGGTAGAGAACAAGTCTTCAAAAAAGTCTTTTGACTTTGGATAAAGTAAAAAATTACCATTCAAATTTTGGTATAGAATTTAATTCCTCCTCAATTTGGGTCCAAAAGAAGTTTTTTTCTTAATTTGGTATAAGTTTGAGTTCAAAATTGAAGAAGGTTTTTAGACCATTTAGACTCAAAATTAAATTTAAATCTAAATTAGAGTTAGGGTTAAAAATACTCTTATGGAGTCTAAAAAGTTTGTTACACACAAGGTAAATGTCACTAACTTAGTTTGGATTTATTGTTTTTTTAACTTATATACTCAAGTTATCAACAAAAATTTTGCGTTATGCCAAGATCCACTTACAATCCATCCAAAGTATCATTAGGGCTATCAACTTTATTCATCTTTTTTTTTAATTCAACGATTATGGATGTCTGAGTCAGCTTGCGCATATCTCAACTAATATTTTTCCTGGTTCAGTCAAAATAAGACCATTTACATCGAGATTAGTGTATTAATGAGGGATATCTCTCATGAATTGACCCCAAAATATTACTAAAATTTAAATTTAGAACATTTGAATTTACATCGCGTCCCTGTTATCATTTTGTTTATCGACTTTTCAATTCAGTCAAAGTTCAATTTAAATTCCTTACATACACCTCATTAAGAACAAAACAAAATTAATTACAATCTCCTAGTAAAAGTTTTATTATGTTATGAGATTTCTCACGTCGGAATTTGTAGATGGTCACATGTAAGTTGTTTTTTAAGTTAAATTCTTGATCTCTAAATCACTACCAAACAATTTAACGGCCCAATAAAATAGGATGGTTGATATTGACCTATTTTTTGAAATTAAAAACAAGAAAAAATTTATTGACATGATCTCATCATTCTTTCCTTACGCGTCTAAGGTTCCTAGGCAGCTTTCATGTATGATGATTTGTGTAGTGGATTCAATACTTTTATTTGAATATGACTACAATATGGTATAAAAATTTAAGGGCAAACTATAATTGTTTAGAAAATGTAAGTTATAAATATAAAAGTTATAACCAATGGGCAAATTATACTTTAATTCCCATAACCTTGGACTCAATTTTACATTATCTCTTGAACTATTAAATTTTTCACACTGTCTCCAGAACTATTTATATTATCTCACATTATACCAAATTCAAATGTTGGCTATCTTTTTGGATGAGAATTGTCAATGTGTCAATTACATAGTTTAATGGACAAAATGAAATAATTTTTCTTCAAATTCATAACGGATGTTAATTATTAG